TAAGAATAAATATTTAACTTTGATCATAAAAAAATTAATTAACATAAATATTAAATTGAATATTTATATTAATTTTATATTTATATATTTTTTTTTTTGTTTAATTTAAGTTCTACAGGCAATTTTACAAAGTGAATGTTAAGTTAAAAGTCTAGTTACGAGTTAAATTTCAATGTAAAAGTTTAGAGAAATTATTTTTACAGATTACATATTGAAATTAAAAGTTATTGATCAATTAACATACAGAATCAATCAAAGTGAAGCAGATAAAGATATTTTCAAGAGAAACCTAGAAGCTATCCAGGACGAATGTTCTAAATTGACTTATAAACTTAAAACTTCTGCACGTTTATTAGATGAAGTTCAAGTAGAAAAAGAAAAACTAATGTTTGAAAAAGAAACCATGGTAAATATTAAATTACCTAACATTTTTTAATGTTTTTGTTTTTATGACTTATTTTAATATACTTTCATATTACTAGCTCAAGAACATATAGTGACATATATATATATATTTTTTAGAAATCTCAATTAGAACAGTTACATGGTGTTTTTAAGAAACAAGATATCGTAGAAAAATCACATCATTCTGATAGTGTTCAGTTAAATGAAAAAAGGACTTTTAATAATACTGGTAAATTAGTATTTATTTAGTAATTTATTATCTCTACTAATATTTTAGTTTTAAAAAAACTAAACAAGTAATTTCTTTGGTACTTGTTTGTTATAACCCGCCATAAATAAAATAAATAATATAATAAATAAATAAATAAATAATATATTAATAATAATAAAATGTATTATAATTATAAATTAAAAATATATATTAATGCATACTACATCAGTAGGTACAAATATAATATAAATATAATTATATTAGAATTGAAGCCAGAACTCATAAATACTTTTTAAGATAATTTCAAATGTATCTTGTTCCTGAGATGTGTTCTCCACATAAATTCTGTGAAATACATTTTTAGAAGATTTCTTTAAGTTCCATGACACTTTTTATTTCCTCATTTAGCAAAACCCCACAATCTCTTTATATTTTGATTATGTGCCCCTGTGTCTGGATCAACAAAATTATAGGTGTGGTTAACAGTTTTATCTTGTAATCTCACTTGCTGTAAATTATTGTAAGTTTTCCAACAATCTTACATAATTATTGAGCCTGCTCTTTATATTTTTGTATTATAGGTTACAATGTTTTCTTCAATTGATCAACTATACTCATTATAAAACATGCTTTGTTTTCCTGAAATTCTACTATACCTCGTATATATTATTATTTCAATTGACCACAGCATTTTGTCCTATTTTCAATTCACATTTACAATATGTTATTGAAGATATTTCTCGGGCCTAATAATATATGAAATTGACAACTATGTGTATTGGCAGTCTAGAACCAGTTAGTTAATTATTAACTCTTCCTTCTAGCAACTTTTTTTCTGACATCACTATTGCGATATATTAATAAGAATAATTTTGGCCATTTTCACACATTTCACTAACTTTAATTATTTTATTTTGTTGTAAAAATGTAATTCCAGTATCTTTGTTGTTAACAACTATAAGTAATTCATTAAAATTAATTTTTGTATTGGTTTTAACAGTATATAAAATAACAAAAGCCAGCAACATACTAATATATTATGATTTAAATTGTAATTTTTTCATTTCCTAAAATAGATCTATCACGAGCTAAAGACAATAATTATAGGAACAATAACAAGTATAATAATACTATATGGTGTACTGACGAGACGATAACAAACAAGTACCATTGTTTTTATGGCAATATTAAAAGTTAAAAATACTTCATTAATATTATAAATTTCTATTATTTATTTAAAATAAGTATATATCAATAATAAATGGTATGTCTCTAACAAAATCTAAATAAATATATTATAGCATGTGATTTCATTTTTATTTAATTAATCACAGCAAATTTATATTTTTTAGATGCTTTATTATCAGATCTTAGTTATAGTCATTCTGAAGATAGTTCGTGTGAAAATTTAATGAATCCTAAATACAATTCTGCACCCATAAAAAAGTGTTCTACAGGCAACATTTTAAATAACTTAAATACAAAAAATTGTGAGGTAATTAAAAATGTATGATTATTTATAATGTTTTTTTTATGTCTTCTTCTTAACAATATTTTTCAAACCTCTGCAACTTAATTTTATTTGCATTTTGAAAAATTTTGATTTGGTTGCCTACATAGTTTTAACTGTTAAATGTTTTCTTTTTTTGTTGAACAAATTAATACATTTTATATTGTTTCATTATTTTAGATTATGAATGTAAATACTAATAATAAAAAAATAGTTGCTATTACCACTTTAACTATGGATTTTGATTCTATAAATGCTAAATCAGTTATAAAAACTTGTCCAACACCAACTTCACAAAATGAATTAATATCATCATTGAGCGGTAATAATTTAATTTATTTTTAAATGGTATTTAAATATAAATTATTATTTATTTATAGATTCTGTTGAGCCATTGTCTACTAGCGAGTCTGAAAAAGAAAATAATATATCTGAAAAAGAAAATAATATAACTGAAAAAGAACATAATTTTATTCAAAAAATTATTGTAATCCCAGAAATGTGTGGACACTGTCATAAAAAGTTTGTTTAAAAATGTTTACTGTTTTTATTATTTATCAATTATTTTTATTTATAGTAAATACTTAAGTAAAACAATTTTTCAGAATCAAATTTAATAATTATATGGTTAAATGTCTGGACTGTAAAATTATAACTCATTTGGAATGTAAAGATTTTATACCTGTTATATGTACAACTGATCAACTAAAAATTAATGCTTTAAATGTCAGTAATTTATTATTCTTATATTTTTAACTTAATTTTAATAAATAATTATTACTGATAGTGTGGTGTTCCGCCCTCGATTGTTCACTGCATTAGCGAAATCGAAAGAAGAGGATTGGAGACAGTTGGACTTTATCGAGTGTCTGGTTCTGATAAAGAAGTGAAAAGTTTAAGTGACAAATTTCGCAAAGGTTTACCAAATTTGAACGATATAAACATTCATGTATTGTGTAGTTATCTGAAAGACTTAATTCGTATGCAAAAATATAATCTTATATCTCAAAGTGATTTATCAAAATTGACTGATGCATTAAAAAATAAAAATAATGTTTCAAAGTCACTTTGTCAGAGTGTATCAGAATTGCCACAGTCCAATCGTAACATACTTGCATTCCTCATTATTCACTTGCAAAAGTATATTATTATTTTTATTAATTATTATAAATGTTTATTTTCCAAAAAAAAATAGTTTTATTTTATTGTTTAATTTTTATTTTTTTAGAGTTGCTAGTTCGTTAAAATGTAATATGGATTATAATTGTCTAGCAATAGTTTTTGGTCCTACAATTGTTGGTGTTACAACTACTTCCTTAGATGATTTACATATTAAATCTGAACTTATTTTTAAAGCAAGTAACCAAGTTTGTCACTGATGTTTTTAAATTGAAATTATTGACAAAATTGAAATAAATTATTATTAGAAAATAAAATATTATTTATGTTGGATATTTAATTTAGGTTGTAACAGAATTGCTTAAGTTACCCAGTGATTTTTGGCTTAGTTTTTTGAAAACTAATAGCATTTCTTCTGATGAATTGTTACATAGCACTCCAACTCAAAGTCAACCACAGACACCAGGATCATCTAATCGATTTTTTTCTTCTGGGTAAGACAGTGAAAAATTTATTGTTGATTTTATTATTTTATTATTTCATTTTATTTTGGACAGAATAAAAAGACGAATATTGGACTCTCCAAAAAAAAATAAAATTGCCAAACAAGTTGAATTTTAAATCAAGTATTGTGTTTTAAAACATATCATTATTTGAGTATGTGTGATTTATATTAATTTAAAAAAATGTATTTTAAGAACTTGTCTTTACACACTAAACAGTTAATTTTTATATGATGTTAATTTTACAAATTGTTGTTTGTACTACTTTACCTAAGAAATGGTTTATTTTTTAATTTTATAATCCAAAACGGAAATATTTTTAGAATACTTTTTAGTTTCTATGCAAGTATATTATTTTTTGTTTTTGTTTTTTTTTGTTTTTAACAATTATATGATACCAGAGTTAATACATTATTTGTCAAAGTTTCAAAAAAATAAAGTTAGTATTGCATTGGTATTATTATTTTTATTATTATCTTATACAAACATTTTTGTTAATTTGAAATATATTTTAATTAATAAAATTAAAAAGAAAGATTGCTGTTAACTGGTAAGCAGAAAAAACTATAATACGTTTTAATATTACTTTTATTAACTATATTGAGTGACTATTATTAATAATTAGCAACTATCAGATAAGTTTGTAAAAGTTTTAGTTTATAACTATTGAAATAAATTTTGTCTGAACCTGATGACCCCACATTTATTTTTACCACTTACCCTAGTAAATAAATATTTTATGAATTAAATATTATAAATAAAAACAAAAACATACTTTACTATAATAGAAAACATTGGCCTTATGTAAACTTAAAAATTTCAATAAACAAAATTAGAATAAATCTATTACTAAAGAAAAAGATAAGCAAGCATGCATGTATGCTGAATTGCTATACAGTATATTTGAACATTAACCATTCAAACATAATGTAAAGTTTAGAAAAAATATTCTTTCTGTGGTGTTAGTAAATAAATTTATCATTTTGTTTACTAAAAATAATTATACAATTATGTTTCTAATTTATACACTTTTTAATGAACTACAAAATTGTATTTTTTTTTTTAAATATTTTAAATTTAGTTTGCTTTAAATTACCAAATGATTATAAAAGTTGACTTGTTTTAATTATTTAAATATGTATTATATAGGTACTAGGTAGGTCATAATAAAAACAACATAGTTAATAATGTGAAGACAAAATTATTTTTATTTATGTAAGTACTAAGTAGTTAAATATTAATATGCATTGAATATCTTAAATATATATATAAATTTGTACAGTAAAATGTAAAAAAAAAATATAATTTTTATTCGCCTATTTGATTTTACGAAATGTAAAATTCAGTCTAATATTTTTTGCTTTTTTTTCTTTGGGAATGGAGTGATACCAATATTCATTTGTTGGCTGATTCATCATTAAAAGACTCCCATTGCGTAAATCTAATTTTATGAGTTCTACTTGTCTTATTTTCTTTCTTACATCTGTATGTTTAAACACACATTTTCTTGTCTGCCCCAAAGATATAGATGCAATAGGGACTGTTTTGTCTAATTCTACTTCATCATCTCTGTGTTCGCCCATATGATCATCTCCATTTTTATACCTTAAAATGTTTTTATAGAATAAGAATCAATTTGTCATTTTGTAACATTCACCTATGGTTCTTACCTATTGACTAGAACAAAATTATAATTAACTCCACGGGCAGTGTATATTTTTTTCTTCAGATTGTACAAAGGTTGCGGCCATGGTTGCGCTGGGACGACAGTACCAGAAAACTTATAAGTTATGCCTGTGTCACCAAACGCAACCTGCTGCCGGGGTATGGGATAATACTGTCCAAAGACTTTCACCTGCGATAGACGACCGTCGAAGTAACTCACGTTATCTTCCATGTAATTCAGCAGAGATGCACTCTCGGCTGCTGTCAGAAATCTCTCACAATAATCTAAGTCTAAGTTTTCAGCGACGATTTTTTGCCATCGTGATGGCTGAGCATTTTTCATCAGTTTTTCGTAGAGATTAAGTGCCATGACTATCAACTATTGCTGAAAGCTGATTAATTGACGGATTGTATTTGGCAAAAATACTTTGAAATAAAATACTAAAATAAAAATAATAAAATATTTTGACCTGCAGTCTTATAATCATATCTACGAATTTCAAAAACCTCTTATCAGTGAGAGTGATGTCAAAAAACCCGGCAAACTATCAGGTGTTTTTGTTTTTTTTTTAGAGATAAAGTTCAATAAACTGATAATACAAGTAATGAAGTTAATTTTTTTCAAATAAAATAAATATTAAATATTACAACTAGTATTAATAAATAATAATGTTATATATTAATTTTACTTATTATATTTACATATTAGGTACATTAAAATGTATTATTTAACGCTTATGAAAATAATTTAACTCGTGGCGATATTATTGCGTTGACATTAAACATCATTGTATGCCAAATGGCAAATGCTGTGAAATTTGTACTTTCATGAATAGTATTCAATGGCAAATTCAAATAAAATTAAAGCTCTACTATCTGATTTGGGCAGATCAACCAAAAGAGGTGTGAAAAAATGTCCATCATGTGGAACGTATAATGGAACAAGAACTGTGGTATGCAAGACATGTTATGTGTTATTAAAACCAAATAATAAAAGAGTTTCACCATCTGAAGTGTGTCGTCTACTTACACCTTCTTCATCTTGGGTATATTCTCTACTTAGACTTGTTAAATTAGCAACTTACAAATTTTTAGTGTTAACATTTTTAAACATTTCAGATTTTTTCTTACATATCTTCTGAAAATATTGATTTTGAAGAAAGAGGATTCATCCATTTTCCTGATACTAAAAACAAAGAAATTAACAAACTAGATATTGGAATTTGTTTAGTTCGTTCTTGTGGTGGTCGTTTATTTGATAATAATGTCCTGAAATGTCATGCAAGTTTAATTATTCTATTATAATAGTTGTTAACTCATATTTTGTTTAATATTAGGCAGCTTATTGATTTATCTTATTTTGATTTTTTTTTTAAATATTTTTCCAATACATATTTTAACATATATTTTTAAATATCAACTCCCTATGTAAATATTTGCTAGACATTTAAATACTCTCAATTTAAGGATTTGTAAAAATATTGATAAAATGTATTTAAATAATGTTTAAATTTTATAATTTCTTATTTGTAAGGTTAGGATGTTTGTGAGTTAAATATTTATAATTTTGTAAAACACATAATTCATAATTTATTCAAAACACTTTACATTTTTAGAAGATAATTAATAAAAAAAAAATCATATTAATGTAAGTTGTAATACCAACATAAATACCTTTATATGATATATTGGCATATTGCCTATAGGTGAATGTAAAAGTTTGTTTAACACCACTTGTGTAATGTGAATAAGCACCTGTACAAGTAAATTTAATGATAAAAATTAGTTTTTTTGTATTTTAAAATTTATAAAAATACATTTAAAAATGTTTATATATATATGTATTATAAAATTTAATATTTCAATATAACTATTGATACGCTAAACAAGTAATATATAATATAAAACTTACAAACATCCTAACCTTACTTATAAAATATATTTAAAACAATAATATAATGTAGTATAACTTTAATAATGATGTTTATTGCTTAGATCTTAACACTAAAGTATAGAAAATAATTCCTTGTGTATTCATAATTAATAAAAATGATTAAAAATGAACTATTTTAATATTTTAAGTTAATAGTCTTCAAATTATTGTAATATTGTTTATTAAATTCAAGATTACACCATTTATTATTTAATTAACAATATCTATTTTTATGAATATGGTTCTCTTACACTTTATATTTAATAGTTATATAGTTGCAAAAACATATGGGTATGAAAACTATTATAATTTACTTAAAATTCAATAGTTATAAGTTATAAAATAATTTAATTTACAAATATTATTTGTTATAGGAAAGCGTCTTAAATACAAATATTCAAAGTGAACCCTGCAAACATATAGATACTTGTTTTGATTGTAATACAATTGGTGTATCATTGAAAATTGACCAACAGGTTTTAGAATCTTTTAGAGTTCCTCAAAATGTAAAACAAGTATGTTGCTTTATTTATACAGTCAACTTTTGATACCCACATATTGTAATGGTGGATTTTTACACAGATTATAATAAATTATCAAAATAATATGGAAAATAAGATTCTCTAAAAAATTAATTATATAGATGTTTATATATCTTTTATAGGCCACAATATATAAATATCTATTGTACAACTAATTTTATTAAAAACAAACCTATTAGTAAGATTTGGGATTTCTCACTTTTGTGTGGTTTTTTTGTAATAGTTGTAGAAAATCCTTGGTATGTTATAAATTAGTTTTATGAAATTAAATTAAAAATTTCACTTTTAGATATTAAGTTATGTTTTACAAAAGAGACATACTTGACAAATTTGTGTATTTTTTTAAATTATAGTTTAATATATATATTCTATTTTTTTCTGGTTTTTCTATAATTTTAACTGCATATTTTTAATAATTTTAATTCAGTCATTTCCAAACTCTAATAATTAATAATAAATACATTTATTTATTTAATTTTAATTTTTAATCATACAATTTGTTTTCATAATTATTGATAAAACAAAATAATCATCTGTTAATTTTAATTGCATACTTATATTTATATTTTAAACATTTTTAGTTGAAAAGTCCTAAATTCTAAATAAACACTGAATCTAATTTCAATAACCACAATTGATGCACTTTCATTATGGAATAAAAATATTTTTCATAATATACATAAATTAATTCAAATTTTTTGTAGACTAGTATCAATAACCACATTAGATAGAACTTTTTTAATAATAAACAAATTAAAACTTATATTTAAGAAATTTTACAGATTTTTTTTAACTAGTATAAATCTTTTAATTTTATTTTACTCAAAAACTTTTTGTATGGTATAAGACTATTTAACTATAAAATGGTTGTTTGTAATATATTAATTTTTTTAATTCAGGAAGTATGGACAAATTTTATTGATAAAAAAAAACCATATTTACAACGTGTATCAGAAAATATATTTGTTGTTCGATGCAAAGTTTCTACTCAAAACCCTTTGGGCTATTTGCATTGTATCATTGGAAAATACAATAGATGCTTTTGTTGTACTACTACATTGGTTACAGTTGATCAAATGGTAATATCTTGATAAATTATAATTTATATTTATAGTCAATATGTTATTATACTATTTATATCAAACATTATTTTTGTTAGGATCAAATTCCAGATTTAAATACATACTTTTGTTGTCATTACATTGCATGTTTAAGTGCTATAGCAACTTCTCGATATATGGTACAAGAGTTTGAAAAAAATCTTAATCCTTTTGTATCTGTTTCTACATTGTCTGCGACTATTGCTCAACTTGACAATTTACCAAGTAAGTGTATTATTTTAAAGATAATAAGAAGTGCCTAGTCTTGCATAATAAAATTTTACTAAGAAACTACAAATTTAAATTTACTATGATAAAGTAACTGGAAGTTCTATTTATTATAATGTTTTTTAATTTATTTCTGTACTCCACTATTAAAAGTCTTAATACTTATTTTAACATGACAGTTTATACTGCTGTAGTACTGTGTCCAGGGATGGGCAAGATACTCAAAAATCAGTATAGTGATACTAAATACTAGATATTTAAATTTGGAGTATTGAGATATTAGATACTTGATACTTAAATTTTAAGTATTTAGATACTCGATACTCAATACTTGCATTTTAAATATTTAGATACTCCATACTCCATACATTTGAAAAAATTACTCATATGATTTTTTTAAAATTTTATTTATGTACAGAAAATTGCAAAAATTTGATGTAGATCTTAAAGTGTTGTTTTATTTGTTTTTTTTTTTTTTTGTCAATGTAGAGAACACATTCTGCTTTAATATTTTCAGTTTCTGTCCTAGGTAGTTTTTTTTATTTTAAAATATTTTCCAACTAAAATTAATGGACTAAAAAAATTATTTTGTACTCAAGACATATTAATATATTATAAGGATACTGCAAACGTAAACAGCGTAAACATCTAGTGTGTATACTAGTTAGTGATTACTGTGTAGCCTACAGTGTTGTGTAAGAAATACTTGTCGTACTCTCGTATTTATCTAAATCTACTATCTAATAAATATATAAACATGAGAAATAAATGATTTGCTGCCAAAAATTGCAATAGTGTATAATGTAGTGGTGGGGGGGGGATATTAGCAAAAACCACTGAGGTATTAAAATTATTTATAAACCTTTGTACCTATTCCTTTCTTGATAATAGTATAAATGACAACTGATAAATTCTTGAAAGAAAAGATTTGCTATTTTCATAATTTATGTAGGTATTACATTCTCTATAAAATGTAATCGCTTGTCTTACTAATATTTTTTACCATCGTAATTTACAGTTAATTGTTTCAAGAAAAAAAAAAATAAAAAAATTTAATGTTTGTTTTAGATGTCCAGGTTGCAATGGCAGAAGAAAGTAATGGACCAGTCACATTTTTTGATGATCAGATGATTATTACTAGTGAAACTTGCGTCTTAGAAAGCATTACTCCTAAATATCAAAGAATAATTCCAAATATATTATCAAAAGTATTGATTTTAATTTTAATATTTAACATATTTAATATTCTTTCCTGGTTCTTAATTAATAAAATAATTAATAAATGATATATCTTAAACTACGTAAACTATTTGTTTTGAACTTAAAAATTTAAAATATATTTAATACTGTTGTTCCATATTTTGCTAGTATTAAAAAAATATATTGTTTATTTTTTAGAAACGATCTAAAAAGTCTCAAAACAATTCAAGAGTAAAGAAGAAAAGTAGTATGATAACAATTATTTTATTTTAGTATAAATATTTTAATTTTTTAAATACATTTTATCTAGGTCATGAAGAACCACAAATCATAAATCCTAATCCAGTATTAAGTTTTGAAAAATGGATTTCTTCCGTTACAGAACGCATTAATCAAGAAATGCATTATCAATTTGATGGTAATCCACCAACCATGGTGTTTTATATTCATAAGGTTAGTAATAAATTTGTT